AGAATTGGGGGGATGCAAAATTTTTAGAAGAAGCTAAGAGAGATTATGCGGGGGCCATAGTTTTTGGGGGGGGGGGACTTCAAGGGGGGCTCTTAAGAATTTTCTTGTCATTTAAAGATTTCACCTACCCCCCCCTCCCCTCCATACATTATGAATGCAGCCTTATAGCCCATTTTGATTCACATGTAAAGGATTATTTTTCACAGGGCTGGCTTGAAAAACCAACAGAGGATAATGATCAAAAGGGATGGTTAAAGAAATCTTTTTCAAAAAAATGGAAAAAGGGTTTTTATATATTGAGGAAATACTGCTCAAGTGATCAAGCATTCATTCAGTGGTTTGATAAAGAAGAAAACTGGAGGAGACAAATAGCAAGAGGGACACTTGAACTTTTCCCTCAATATAGAGTCCTAAAACGGGGTGAAATGAAGGGAAAACAGTTTGTATTTGAAATCAATAATGATGCCGACACATATATACTGGCAGCCGAGTCTGAAACTGTCATGGATCTTTGGGTTATACAGCTACAGATGCAAACTAGACTGAATCCTAGGGTTGCTGGTAAGATAAGTTTGAAGATTCTAAGTCACTAATTCTCTAAAATCTATTCATCTACATAACACTTTTCAGTGACTTTTATTTATCCATATAGATCCTAAGGCTTCTCCCTCTCCTTTGAACTCCCTCCTCCCTTACTCTATCCCTCTCTTTCCTTTCTTACTCCTTCCTTTCCCTTTTGCACAAGCCCCACTGCTTATCACACCATGAATGCAAACCATAGTTACTATGCCAAACAAACCAGAGGTAGCCCATCAAATATGAAAATACTTAAGGCCCTGGCTAAAAGAGGAAACATGTTTACCGCGCGCATGTTTCGGAATCCTTGATGTTTCCTTATTTAGCCACATGCAAAACATTGCTGCGTGCAACAAATTTTGCTTCCAAGATGCAAAAAATGTTTTTGCTGTGCAGCAGAAACATTTCATGTTTCCAAGATGCATGGGAACATTATTTCCCGATGTTTCCTGACAGTTTTGCCACCTTAGGAAACATTTAGGGAAACATGTTTAGCCAGGGCCTAATACCTTGGGGGAAATGTTTTTCCATTAGAATGATTTAAGAGATTTTGTCTAACATATTTTTCTTTACAGGAAAAACCTTCAGAATCCAGTGCTGTGGTAACAAAGCAATGCAAAGAATTGGTGCAAAAGACCAGAAATGTTTGCTTCACATTTCAAAATGGGGGATTACTCTTGCTCTTGAACGAACCAGGGCAGTTCTTGCTCAATGGCCTCTCACAACTATACGTAACTATGAGTGCATGGATCGCTGTGAATTCAGCTTTGAGGCAGGGAGAAGATCTCCGATGGGAACAGGGAAATATACCTTTTATACCCAACCAGGAGAAGATAACAGAATCTTCGATACCATTGATAAATTTGCTACTGAGCGGCTGCAGGCACAGTCAGGAGGTGGGGCTGGAGTGGTTGCTAATAGTGAGGAAGATATGTCAAGAGCCTATGATCAACTGCGCTTTAGTGTTCTCAATATTCCTTCAGGTATGAAATGTCAGAATTTCAGAATTCTAATTAATAATAATAATAATAATAATAAATAGTAATAATAATAATTTTATTACTTATATAGCAATTAATTAATAAAATAATAAATTAAATTGATTAATTAATAAAATAATAAATTAAAATGAAATGTTTTTTTAGGGAATCCAGACGAGGACTATGACATGGCTGGGAGTGCACCAAGGTCCATACAAGGAGGTAAAGAACAACATCTGGGGTGAAATACAAGAGAAGGGAGGCTGTTTATAGGAGAAACTATAGAATCCCCCTTTCCCTTTGCATAAATGCTCTAATTTTAAGCAGATACCTAATCTGTCCCAAGGTATCCCATCATGCATTGCATTCAGGGGTCATGATATAAATGTTTTTTTTGTTACAGTGGATATGATGGGCAGTTACTCTCACCTGGATAGATCAGACAGCATCAGCAGTGGTCCTAGTATTGGCAGCTATAATACATCACTAGACCCAAGTTACAATAGTGTTTATCGTCATTCAAGTTTTGGGTCAACGAGTGAAGCACCTCAAGGAGCGTCAAATTATGATTTCCTTGATCATGCTAGGTCACAGATAAGCTTGAGTGTTAAAGAGGGACATAGAGGATTTAGTCGGTCACCCAGTGGATATAACCATATTTCTTCATCGGTAAGTGTTGGTGTTACTAGGTGGTATTTTTTTATTCAAGATTTTTCGGCAAGTTGGTGCTGCACAATAGGACAAAGGGACCCCTTTGAGTCACATTGCACCAATAGATGACTTGCACTAACAGTTCATGTGACCCTACCTCCCTTAAAACAAGCAAATGGGTCAAAATTAACTCCAGAAATGAGTAAGAGAGCCAACTGAACCAACTGGGTGGCGGTTAACCAACGTTCCAACTGACCGTCTGTCCATCCATTTATCCAACCAACTATCCATCCACCAACCAATCAAATTTTCCTTCCATCAATCCACCCATCAATCTTCTATCAATCCATCTGCCCTTCCTTCCTTCCATCCATTCATTCACTTTTTATTTCTTGCAGAGTTTTCGTGGAACTCCAGAGTTTTTTAGCAAGGATATGTGTCCACTTGAGCTGTCACCAGAAAACGAGCCAAGCCCTTCAGATAACCTGTCATCTCCTGTCTCGCCATCAAGTATGGTACCATCAGAGAGCAACGACGACCAGTTTTCAATGAGTGGCGAATTCAACAGCCCAGAGAGTTTACAGGCTGAAGCAACAAGCTCTTCAACACTGACCGAGGAAGACGAACCTCCTCCCTTACCTGATCGAGCAAGTAGGGTACCTCTGCAAGACAGAAATGTACCCCCTGTACTCCACGGCAATACAAAGCCTCTGCGCGATCGCCCTTTGCCACCTCCTCCTCCTGATGAATCGCCTTCGCCGCATGGTGGCAATCCTGGGCTGCCTGATCGAGGGAAAACACTGCCAGCATTCGGAAGCAAGAGGTACGGACAAAACGAATCAAGTAAAGGGGGTGAAGAAAATACCGGATTTCCACAAACAAGTGATCAAAGTAATTTTTCAAGGACAAGCGCTTCTCCAAATTTCGTGTATTTGAATTCAGCTTATTCAAAGAGTGTCGAAGTTTTGCCCCAGTTGTATGCAACTGTTGACAAGACGAAGAAGAAGAAGTACCGAGAAATGGCCGAAAGGAGGAGATTGGAGTATGAAGCTGCAAAGCTTGCTAGAACGAGAAAAAAGAGTCGGAGCCACGAGAGTTTATCAGGTTCTCCCAGACTGAACTCTTTCTCATTCACTCCTTTTAGCTTCAAGGGTTTAGCTGCGATGGACTCGAGCTCAGAAGAGGATTTCAGCAAAGATGAAGATTTCGACATTCCTAAATCTCTCATTTCCCATAAGTCTCCAGAATCAGAAAGAGTGTCAATGGCTTTTACAGGGAGTTTGAAAAGAGACGATAATTTTGGAGGAAAAGGAGATATAGGCATAGTAAACGGTGCCTTGGCGTCGTCTGTACCCACTACATCACCCACTAACAAGGATGTGGAAACTTTACATAAAGCTATAGCGCAGTCGTCTCCTCGTGTGGGACCTAAAAACAAACACAAAAAATCTGCAGAACACTCTATCTAAAGTATCACCATTAACTTTTGATTTTAAGTCGGAAGTGTGAAACCTTTTTCTTTAAAATGTCTTTTTTTACGCTGAAGATTGACACAGTTTTCTGTATCTTCTAATTATAGTGTAGGTTTAGGTTTGAATTATTTTATTGCGCACTCGTAGTTTGTTTGGTTGTAGTGTGTTGGTAGCGTGAACCCTAGCGAAAGACTTCAGAGACGTTGCGCCTGCGTCGTGTCGATCTTAAGAACTGGGCTGTGAAGACGAACCAAATCTCGCAGAAACGATGTAAATGTTCGTGGTGGAAACTCTAACGCAAGATTAAAGAGGTTTATCCTGGACTCATTCTTTGCGTTGGCGTTGCGCATGCGTCGGTCCTGAAAACTAGATTTCAAGGAGCAAAGCTTACAGACCTACTAGGCTGGGGGGAAAATCTGAGATATAAGGAACTCAAACAATTGATCATTATAATAAATGAAATCTACTAGGCCCGGTTGTACGAAGGGTGGATAAATCCTTATCCAGTGGATAAGTCGATGCTGTTATCCAATAGATTTATCCACTGGATAAGAATTATCAGTCGCGATAGCGGTCTCCACCCTTCGCACAACCGGGCCCCGATGGATTCTATGATTGGGTCTGATAATAAATAATAATTAGAAATATATCGGTGAATAACACCAGTACTGTGTTTTGTTTGTCTAATGCCCTTTCGTTTCAAGATACACTCTATCTATAGGTGTCAAGGGTTTTATGTCGATTTGGAAAGTTGGGATTTCAAAGCGAAAAAAATCAACTAAGCAAGTAAAAACATCGTATTTATTGTCGAGTGTGTAGAGCTTTTACATCATGTTATTCAAAGTCACTTTAAAATGTAGCCCTAGAAAGAGTTAACAAAAGCATTGGTGTGGAGATGTACTAAGATTATTTGAAAGAAAGAAATCGAACCATACTTGGTGAATGGACCACTTCCGTTCTACCATCAATCCATGCCTTCCTCGATATTGCTATACGGCCATTTAACAGAAGCGACTTTTGATATGACGTTAGCGGCGATTTGAGCATCGTTTTTTGCTCTAAGTCCACAATGTGCCTGTAAAACTAGCGATGATTTTCAGACGACTCCACTAAAATCGTCACAAAAGAGCAAGCTAAGCCCATCAAAAGTCTGCCGTGTAAAGGGGCCTTTAAATTCTCACTTATCCTTTCAATTTCAATTTGAGATATAAAATTCGTTTTTGGATTAAAAATGATCAAATTTAATTTACATTTTGATAAAATGCGTACGAATTGCGAGTGAAAGGCGCGGTTACAAAGTGGAACTTACAAAAAATGCGTTCACAGTGGTAACCGCGCCTTCGACTTCAAAACACACAATAAATCCTATATCAAAAATAGTTGTATTTAGCGTGACAGCGCGTCAAACTTGGCTACCTAAGAACTAAATTTTGGGAGCCCCAATAGTTCCCATCAGCCTTTGCGAACCTAGTTTAGGTACGTTCACACTAATAATTTCTAATTTCGTATATACACATAAAATTCCTAAAATCTAAATTTTGAATAAAATTCTATATTCAAACATTCTAGTTCTATTTCATACTAAAATTCGTCACTTTTAAAGTGACTTGTCGGAAAAAAAATTTTTTTTTGTTTACTGAAAAATTCGAACTTTTCCCATAAAATTTTGACTTCTAACAAAGTACTTTGTATATATGTATATCTTTCCTCTAATTTATTCCTTTTTTTCGCATATTTTATTCAACTTCATATAATTTTTCCGCGCGCATTTTCAATGTCATTCCACATCTAACCTAAGAATGAGAAAATGCATTTTTTTCTACTAATTAGTTCTCTGAAAATTTGATACAAAAATAAAATCATTACAAGAGTTATTCCTCTTGTATGAAAAGCTAAATCTCCTATGCCTTTAGAAAAGGATTTTATAGTTTTTACAGAGGGGTCAAAATTTTTCCCCCTGGTATAACACCTTCGTCTTAACTATTGGTTCGGACGCACGGTACAGCAATTCCCTGCGCACAGCATTACACGAATTGAAATGTCATCGTGTGAACATGGCTGCAATTTCGCTTGCAACATTTAAAGCCAATCAGGTTGCACTAAAACGAAAACTGCTGTCCAAACCTAGTATAGCAGGCGTGGTTATCGAAGGATAACGCCATATTAGAACAACGTTGCGTGATTTTGTTTTGCCACCCTCGATTTGTTGTATGTAATGTTGCCCAGTGTGACCGCTGCTTACGTTTGATGAAGCTTGTTCATTATATAAAGGGGAAGAGGTGTTGCAACACGAGTTTAATCATGCTTAGAGATTCCCCCCCCCCCCTGGTGTGATGCACCGTTTTTGCTTAACCCTCCCTTCTCCCACATACTATTTTTGCTGTTTGTCTCTTACCTATTTTGTTACCCTCATGAAAATTAGTGCCCCTCCCCCCTCCTACCTCTCTAATTAAAGACCAGTTGCTAAGCTACAACCATCAGAAGAAAGTAAAGTCACTTCTAAGATGGCTGTGTGCTGGCTATCTATAAGAAGACTTTTCTGGGTCTTCATAGATGTCTTCTATGGGATTCATTGGTGCTGAGGGGGACCGAGCAATCCTTGTTTTATAACTTCCTTTAGAGTCACCATCATCCACCTCTGCATAGGTATCATTTTCTGGAATAGCATCAGCAGAAGATCTTCTCTGGGCGATTTTGCTTGGCAGTATTTTACTTAAGTTCAAACCATCAGCCAAAAGAGTTGCCTTAAGGTTAGATACAAGATTTTCATGTGTCTTGTTTGCTTGTGTCCCAGTTTTTCTTGGCTTTGGAGCAATCTGCTTGGGTTCTGTAGGAGAGTCTGGTCCCATTCTGCTACCTCTGTAGGCAGAAGCTGGCTGACTTTTTGGTGGTGAACTCTTTTCACCAATACTTGAATAAAAATCCTGATCTGCAGACATACTTAACTGACTGTCTCTGTAACTACCAGACATATCAAGAGGACAGAAACTAGACCCCATGCTAGAGACACTGGATACAGAGCTCCTGTCAACACCTTGAGAAGTGCGGTCATTACGAGGCACCCTTGGTGGAGGAACAGGAATAGCTTGACCTGATACTTCATTTTTTCTTGGAGGAACTAAAGGTTGCAACATTGATTGACGAAAGGAAGTGTGTTGGGAAATATTTGATCTGTGTTCATCAGCATTTTGGCCTCCATCTCCTTGGACAGGTTGATTTTTAACTTCAGGACTGCTGACAGAGGATCCAGGATAGGACAAAACATTGTATGTATCCTCAGTTTCCATACTATTACGCATATTGTGGAAAGCATTTGTTAAGCTTATACAAGCAGGAATTCCTTGCTTCGGTACAGAAGTTCCATGATCAAGACTGTCATATGTGTTAGTGTCTTGTGACACAGGAGATTGGTTGTTATCATACATTTGGCTTGATGGAGAATGAACACCATCATTTTGATGTTCAGTCATAGTATTTCGATCAAAATTTGCTGGAAGAGGAGGTGGAGGTTTTTGTGGTCTTGAAGGTTCAAGTATATCATTTCCTTTTCCTGTGCTACTTGGGATTTTGCTTGTCATTTTTTCAGGATCTAAAGTGTTATACTCACTTGCTTTCGCATCAAAACTCATCTGCCCTCTCATTGAAGCTAGTGACTCTCGATTTTTCATGTGACCATAAGGAGCTTCATAGTTATTGCTTTTTTGATTCTCAGTTTTTTGAGGAGAATGAATAATATTTTGATCATAATTTGGATGCACTGGGTGGACAGGCTTGAAGCCTGCTAATGGCGAGCACATAAGATGGTCATAACCATCCTCTTCAGGAACTGCTGTACTTGCAACACTTTGTATACTTAGTGTACTTTGCATTGATTCACTCCGTTGAACTTTTGCAGGTTGGTTTGGTGGCATAGGAATCGGAACATTATTCCCTGCTCGAGACTTGATCACATTGTCAAGCAATTTATAAATTTCATCATGCTGAGGTGTGATAAAGACAAAGTTTCCTTCCCCTGTTGGAGCTCGGCGTCCAGCTTCCAAGGAAAATTTCCCCCGTGAGCTCATGTATCTTCTTAGGCAAGTGAAAGGCCATGCTACAAATTGGTTCCCATCTTGAGCAGATATCAACCTTACCTCTGTGTCAGTGATGTGTAGATGACACTTTTCTGTAGCACCAGTCCTGTTCATCACACCACTAGGAACTGGCTCCACAATAAACGACTTGACTAAAACAGAAAACAAGCTGTTAATCAATCTATTAATCATCGACAATTAATTACTCAAGCTTGCATCAAGGGTGGATCTAGGGGAGGGTTTCATGGGGTGTACACCTTTCTAGATGAGCTGATATCTACTGTGTTATTGGTGCTTGAATTTGTGAAGGTTTCGATCATAAATGGAGTGTACACTCTTAAAACAAATCCTGGATACACGACCACTCCTGTGCTCACAGGCTCAATCACTATCACAGTTCAGTTCTCTCCTGTGCTTCAATGAGAGTTTTTCATGTATCCAGTTTGAAACACTGTTAGCATGGGCGGGAACGTTTAAGGAAGTACATGTTTATAGATTATTATTAATATTATTAAAAATATATAAAGATATTGATAAATGAGAGATTTGATATGTGACTATGATGTAATATCATTACTCAGCGTGCTTTTAAAAGCAAATACAAATGTGTTCCAATGGATCAACAAGCTAAGAGCATGCAAGAAAAGGTCATGTACTCTTAGTACAAAGTTAAGTATTACACAATAGGAACAAACTTTTACATGATAAATCTTGTTAAATCAAATGTTGATTCAAAAGCATATCACAAAAATGAATCCATAAAAATCATAAATCAAAATCTACAATAATCGGAAACAGCTTTTGCTTAATCATATCAATTCATTAATATTATAATGCGCCATCAATCATTTTCGGTAGATGAACGATTTGTTATGAAGACAAAACAATGACCAAAATACGTACTGCAAACAAATGATATCGTTATTAGAAATCCAAATACTAGTTAAATAAGATGTCTTTCTAATAAAAATTAGTATAGATTATTTATTTTAAAATGAAAATACAATCGAAAATACAAGCGAAGGAAAGACACGAAATCAAATCAACATGACAGAATATTAGTGATCTATTTAATGTGACACAAACTTACATACCGATATTTTCTCTCTCCAGAGTAAGAATCCATTTATTGAGTTCATCTTCATTATTAGCAGAAAGTCTAAAGACATGCTCCACAGTCTTCACATCAAATACGTATTTCCTTTTCGAATCATGTACTTTAACGACTTCGTAGCCAGGATGAAGTGTTAATACTCCTTTAGGGTCTTGTTTTCTCCAGCTTTTATCCTTATAATATTCCAGACATCGAGTGCTACTAGCAGGGAAGTATTTGAACACGAAGTAGCGCCTTTTCCAGTCTTTTTTACCATGATCATCGGCAGAGGAACACTTCTCTAAGTTGCCCTAAATTGCAATATTAATAGCAAACGTTTAGTACAAACATTGCAACATTCTGCAATGAAAGCCAACGAGGTCAACTCCGATCTCATAATTCAGCCCCAACGCTTCTTATTGCGCTTAAAATCATCCATCATTGATTATTCGTATTCGTAAAGTATGTAGGAGTTAAAATGAAGAGCAAATGTAGAGCTTGTATAGAAATTCTCACCTCGTGAAGGACTTTAACTTCCATAATGGATAGAAATACCATCTACTACCATGCACACAAATACTTCCGCTAAACCGCGATCAACTGGAAACTAGCTACTGGACTACTTTTAAGGAGGCTCTACACTTTTTAACCCGTAACCAAGACGACACATATATTATCATCTATATAGAAATCTTTTATGTCAATATTTAACTGCACATTTCCATCAAAATGTGCAAAAATGTATTTGCTGTTAAGAGAAAATAACTCAACTAGGAAGAAAAGTTTTTTGCCTAGCAACAGTAAGAACTTAAACATCTTGAACTATTGAGCACAAAAAATAAATAAATAAAAATAAAAAATAAGAGCAAAGCAAACGGCGAACAGAAAATATCGAACAAAGCAAACGGATAAAAGACTAAATAAAATATAATGTTGTGTATTTATATTTTCACAAGTTTAATTAGATTATAATTGTGGTCACTTGGAGCCATATTTTGGCGTGAGTATGAACCAGAAGTTTCGTTCTAAAAAATATTTAACCATCAGCCCTATGGCTATTGATCAGGATTAGTTCTCGCCAAAGTAATTATCAGACGGATGAACGACGGAAGAATGAATACTAATTGAGGAAATTCAGCAAGCATCTTTATTAATTTTGGTTTCCGGGCGAAAAATCTTCTAAGTTAAAAATCAAGTATTTGAAATATTGTTCAATTTCCAATCTCTTTTAGGAATTCCGATAAATGTAGCTGCCTTAAGGAGGTCAATGATTAGACATTTAATATATTATATTCGTTCTTTATCCTGTTCTAATTTAATCGATATTTTTTATTTGAGATGCCTTAGAAAGACTCATGTAATCTAGCGACACAATATTCAGCAAATCCCCTCAGATTATGAGGAAGGTGTATATGATATCCATTTTTATAAAATATAGATTCTGTTTCGTTTCTTTTGACTTAGTACAATGCGGTATGGCTTATTCGTGGCGCCATAACTTTGTGGTTACTGCTCTGGATTGAACTGTACGAGAGAGCAGAATAATTGGAATGAAACGGTGACGGGAACTGAGCCAAACCCCTTCTGATCGCTGGCATTAGTCTTCGTCCTACCCCCAACCCCAACCCCCACCTCTGCACGAAAGAGATTCAAGAATCAGGGAGAGCAATCGGATAAATGATTTGTCTAATTCTGTTCGCTTTCCTTCTAATCTTCGTACAAGAATCGCATTCTGAAACTCACGCGCCCTCACAAACCTCACAAACCAAACACTCACGCCACCGAAATTTCTAAGTCTTCTATGAAGAAACAGTAGTTAAACTGAGCGGTATTCATTGCTAGTTCCTTGAAATGTTCGTAAAATAAACTTGAAAAAACGTGCTTTGATATCATTTTGGCAAAATTTTAAAAATAAAAGCGGTTTCAGAAGCTATGCTTTTGTACGCGATGACTGATGCGGGTGTAAAATGTACAAGAGCTGGGTCAAAGATATCCATTAAGTACAGACTGTGAACAAGAATTTCATGTTGCTATATTTAACGTGGAAAAACAGACCAAGGCCGAAAAAAATTGTTTAACACTGCTGACAAAAACGAAAAAAGATCAATTTATATTGTGCTAACGAGCTGAAATAAAAACAAAAACACAAATCAATTTAGACTACAATTTCCATCGATGAAAATATTCTCTATGACTGAAAAAAACGAACAAAAAAAGCCTATTTTTTGTAGAAAAAAAATTCATCACTCCTTTGCTAAAGCTATATAGGGAATTATCCTTTTAGGCCGCTGGAAAAAAACCACTATGTTATCTCCACATCTTCACATTTTTCATATATAGCTAAAACTTTTTATTGTATTTGTACGCTTCCTTTTAGCTCGAGTATAATTGAACCGGTGATGCTATCGTAAAAAAGAAAAAGAAAATGACACTAGCCGCGTAGGGTACTACAACGACACCAAGTGCGATGATTAAGACTTTTATGTTATGAATGTAATCATTGAAGTACTGTACCACAGTAATCGCTTTTTATTGTTTTAAATCTCTAACTTCTTTTTTTATTATGTGTGTGGGAAGAAAGAACTGAACAGAGAAACGAAGAGTTCAGAAAGGATTCTCTCGCAGCGAGTGCAACCAAAAGTATATTCATTTATTTATTTGTATATCATTATATGAAATGATTTTTTTACACTGTATCTTGGCGCTGCAGGCTAACGATTGCTCCAGGTCCATTATTCATCAAATGGATTTCAATATTGAAACCCACTTTTGAAAGCCAATATACGCTGGAGGTCGTATGTCACCAAAAAATAATCAACTTCCCATCATTGTCCATAACTTAGGAGCATTTTCGCACAAGAGTTGTCTAAGAGTCTGGTTCATTGAACAAAATAAAGAGATTAACTTTAATCCTGAAATCTTATTGCGTTTAGTTGAAAGATTGAAACTGGAATTCCTACATCAACTACTGTAATGTTCCGGCGTTGTACAGTTTGGTGGAAACATTTCCATTTGATGTTGACGTCCTTTGATGTCTTTCAGGAGATCTAATGAGTTATATTTTGAATAGCAAGGCCAATAGTAATATTGTACATTCAACAACACTCTTTTGTGTGTATAAATTTAGCCCCCACTGTTAAGGTTTTGGTAGGCTGTTTTTAATCTTATTTCTCTGCCGCACTAATTGACTTTAGATTAAGTGATAACTTCATCATAGCATGTGTAAAGGTGTCTTCTTATGTCGCATGCGTCACAGAAGAGACAGAAATTCAAGATCACCAAGAAAAGAAGCAGTTTCCTAACTGTTATACTGTTTGTTTTTGGTGTTTGTTCTCTTGATTGCAATCACGCAATGATTAAAAAGTGCGTTTCTATTTTCTACCCATTAATTTTGTCTTTTATCCAGTTGTAAGGGAGGGAAATCAGGTTCGCACACTCCCTTCGAAACTCCGCGCTGAAGAACGAATATATGAAAGGATTACACGAGCTGTTTGCCAACATTAAGTAGTACGCCACTGCCGTAAATTGTCTCGGAACATCTATAACAACCGGTATAGCGTTAAGAACATAGTTGACGGTAAACGGCACTGAACATATGACATAAATTGCGGTAAGCAGAAAGACGATCATGATGACTCCCGAGTGTTTGTTACTCTGGTCTGTTGTGTTCTTCTTTTTTGCCTTGGCTGACTTGACCATGACTGCCATGATAGACACATTAGTGTACAAGACTATGATGAGAGGAATGATGAACGTAGCTATAATGTTGAGCAAATTGAGCACGGTGACATCTATATCGGGCAAGTGGCTGTAGCCGCAGATAGCGACATCCCCGCGCAAACACACTTTGTACACTATCTTCTCCAGAAAGTAGAAATCAAGAATGGTGAAGAGTAGCGAATAATACCATGAAAATATGATCATCAGCAATGCCTTTTTCTTGGTCAAGTTGAACTCTAATGGTTTAACGACAGCCAGGTATCGCTCAATGGAAACACAACAAACAGCACAAGATGAACTGCTCAAGGATGCCCATAAAAGACCACCAAAAAGCTTGCAAAAACCGCTAGTGGTCAAGGGCGAACCGACGCCAACCGCATCATTGACATTGTACAAAACACAAACAGCAGTGTCGGCTATGGACAGATTTTGAAGTAGAGCTTTCATTGGGGCATTAAAGAACCCTCTCTTCATACGATAAAGCACAATTATTACCAACAGATTCCCCATCACTGAAACAGTCAAAAAGAACTTGCTGAAGATTTCTTCGACGAGAAGAGGATGAGGTAAGATGTTACACCGACAGAATGCTTGGAACATTGCTTGCTGCTCATCACCATCAGGAATCGGTCCATTTTGACACTGATCTTGCGTAAACATGGGCTTCGAAGAGCCATTACTTAACGAAGTAGTATTCATGCTTGTATCCCAAAAGGAACAAACACCAGTATTGTAGGCTTCGAGGTACGTAAATGTTCTTGTTGACGGAATAAACGATTCAGGTTCTGACTGTCTTGGTTTGTTTTGTTAGATAACAGTTCTCAATGCTAGACCATGCGTGAACTCCTATACAAATAGGTCAAACGCTTTCTTTCCTGAATAGCATTAACTAGCAAATGATGTCTCATTTACATGTGGCATTTACGTTTGTCCGACGAAAACAAACACAAAACTGGAGCTCGAAGATGGTCCTAACTTCAACTGGAGACAGCCGCAGAGAGTCGTTGATTTATACTGGCTTGACTTCCGATCTCAGCTGGATGTTCATCTTTTTATAGTTTGTTATATAAGAATTTAATTAAATTTCGTATCAGGACTTGACAATAAAAGTAGATCTATTGTGTAACATCGAGATATCAGCCCAACTGTGAGGATCGGTAGACTTGTAAATATATAGCGTGTCAAAAAAGTCATCATTAAAAGTTCCATCGAGACACGTCATTCAGAAATACCTCTAAAACGAATTTTTTCCTTATCTTTGAAACAGAGATACGCGTTTGTAGCCTCCAGGGATTTGAATAAGGAAACTACTGTCCTTCTTACCCGCTCTGCCTGTCAACTTTATCGTAAACACTAACGCCAATTTTAAGTGGCCACTTGGGCATGAATTGGACGTCCTTGTTGGCCCTTACCGTGCTAATTGCTCATAATTTGTCTAAAGAAATTTAATTTAAGGTGCAATTCCTGTGTCAGGTTTCTTTGTTTACTTCATTTGTCATTTAAGCGCATAAACATGGTTAGCAAAGGCATAAGAATTTTTCGATTTTAATGGAGAACTTTATAGAAGACAGGTGTGCGTGAGATGATAAAATTCATCATAAGAATATCATTCGTCGCCTCTTGTGTCTTTATGTACACTATCAAACCGCTAAATACGTACGCGCGCGATCCATTTTCTCTAAAACAAAAGTCTATTTCTCAGAACTAATTAGGCTCATTTTAAGATCGTTGCACCGATACGCCAATAAACCATTCATAAGACTGAGGTACTTCCCCAAGTCCATACTCTGTTCTTATTTGAAGTTCTTGCTCGTCTGACAGCATCGGCGGACAGTTCTCAAAAACCTCAAAGATTGGTAATTATGCCTGTCTTCCCGACAAGAGAAACATGTAGGTATCGGTATAAAGATTTTGAAAACGTTCTGTGATACTTTGGTTAGGAAATTAAAGCACAATTATTCGTAGGTCATAGTAGAAGCTTAGCGCACGCTCTCCGAATTCATATCTCATTCATTTTGGATCGCAAACAGTTATTTCATAAGTAGAGTCATAAAATGATCGCTGTTGTGAATAAAAGAATGCGCTATGCCGGGTATAAAAAGTAGAGATTCGTTGATCACAAAGCAAAATGGTTTTATTTTTAATTTTTGATCAAAATGCGCGTCTGAAAATGTCTGTCATTCATTGTTGAACCTTTTTAGCCAATCAGAGATCGTGCAGCAAATATCTCCAATCTAATACATGCATATGGTTTGTATATCGAGTGAGTGGGAACTGAGGGGTTATCAGCACACCACTTTGAGCGGAAGTCTGAACAAGTGTATACGATTCCTTGTCCGCCCGATTGACTGAACTACCTGGCAGTTTTATCAACACGACACAGGGATGAAAATAAGGGTTTTTATCCCTTTAAAGCTGCTTTCAATGTGACATTTTTTCATAACGTACTCGTGAAACTAGCCCAGATAAATAAGAGGATTAAAATGGTTGTTTGAGTGGGGGATGGGTCTATATGGATTAACGCTTAGAGCACTTTGGAATATTTCACCCAAAGATAGCGCTGGGTCTCGACCTGAGGGCACTCCTGAATAAACTAGACGTGTGTACTATGTAGACTACATTTATAGAGATTGCGAAAAAAAACCCCAGACAACTGCAATCATGTCCAAATTTTGTTTAAAAGTTTCAATTACGTCCGATGACATTATAAAATTCATGCAAGCGAAAAATTAGAATTGAGAAAAAAAAAAAAAGAAAAATTTTACATTGATTTCATCTCCAGGGACTACGACGACAATGATAAAGATGCTGGATGATCGGATAAAAATATATTCTTTATGATGCTCGACTATAGCCTGCTTGAACAATTAGCTAGAAAATGATGAGAAATGTGTTTACATAGTTTCACCCTGAGGCCACAGTCGCCTGGATATATCAGTGACAAACTGCTTCCTCGATACACATTAGAAACTGCCTTATACATCTGCAGGGGATGATAAAAATGAACTGCTCTTACATAGCTGATGGAATGACATCAGACAGAAAGCCTCTGAGAGTATTCTAGTCGCTAAGAGCAGTCTAATCTTCTCCGAATCAAGATGAAGTCTTTGTAGGTAGCCTACTCAAAGTCGAAGGATATGGAAAATCAAATGTTATCAACCTTTTCGTCCAATGAAACGAAGACTGTAATAAGTTTGACTAGTAACTGATAGGTTTGTGTGACGAAGATATAGAGGATACGCGAACGTGCGAGAGATTTTCAACACAAGAAGATAAAATTCGTATCTCCAAGCGGCCATGTAATATTCTGTTTATTATATAATTATCAGTGAAGTATGTTTTGGCTTTTTTCAGGCAATTCTTTCCGTATATTTTTGAATAGCTATCGCAATGGTGTTATCTTCACAAGAAGATATCAATTTTTTGAAATAGAGATGAGAGAATAGAGATTTTTCGAAATGTGCGAAAAATGATAAATAGGAAAATCAATAAACTTGAGGGATTTAGAAATTTGAAGACAGATCGAATAGAAGCAGAATTATTCATTCAATTATTTATTAAGAAAGAAAGAAAGAAAATGTAATGTAATGTAATTTGAATGCAAAGTAGACTAGGCGCATGCGAGAAATATAAACAAAATGCACAAAAAGATTTCGCAATGGATGAAAGTAATTGACTGTCTGAATGACATTCGTTCAACTATATCCACATGTGAGACCATAAAACCTTCAAAAAATATATATGTTCACCATACTCCAGTCAACAGACCTTCATAACACAATTAAGTCTCTAGAGTACTTAAGTGTTTGACTGTTGGTGGATGCCCAGACAAGAAGCGAATTTGCATCCATCCTACATAATAGGAGTTTAGCCGGAAATATTATAAAAAAATAAATCTTGATTTTTTTTAAAAATTTCAGCATAAAATTACTATTTATGAATGTTAAATTAAAAATTACATAATAAAAGCTGCGAATTCGGAGTAAAAATACTTTTTACGATCCGGACGATCTAGGTAATCGAAGTCCAGTCCATTCCAGCTATGCACGGTTCCRRATTTTCCAAAATAAAAAATCTCTCATAATTCAGAATCTAGAAGGATAAATCAAATTTTAATAGTTGGGTATGTTTTTGCTATACTTTAAGATTATTTCTATCCTTTCAGAACCTGAAAATATGAGAATTTTTTTATTTGTGATTGTCATACTCATTAATAATTCATGAGGAAACCAGCCAATCAATGGGCTATTTTTGGGTCACATGATGTTACTAGAAACCTGGTAAAGTCATGTGAAAGGACTGAATTCATTCTCTAGTAACTGGAACAAAATTAATTCAGTCCTAGGACTGAATTAATTTTGTTCCAGTTACTCCAAGTCGAATAATTAATGAGATGAGAAGTCATTTCAAAGCCTCCAATATCGGACTGGACGTGATTTCAAGTCCGCGCAGTTACTTAGTTGGAACTAATTGCTTAGGACTTGAAATCCCGTCCAGTCCTCATTGTCTGCTTTGAAATATTACTTCAAGATCCGGTCCACCGACGTCCACGCTTAATGATTTTGCAAAATAAAAAATCTTAAATGCAGGATTCAAAATAAGGATATATTTTTTGGGAGTTTTGGCAAATTTCTACTATAGGCAATTGATTAGATTCCCTTACATATAAAACAAAATTTCATGGACCAAATAGAACACTCATGTTATTTTCACGTGTGAAAATAACACCATTGCGATGGCTATTCAAAAATACACGGAAAGAATTGCCTGAAAAAGCCAAAACATACTTCATTGATAATTATATAATAAACAGAACATTACATGGCCGCTTGGAGATACGAATTTTATCTTCTTGTTTTGAAAATCTCTTTTCAACACTCGAAGATAAAATTCGTATCTCCGCGCGCCCATGTAATATCCTCTATGTATACTTGGAGAAAACAAACATTTATTTTCTCACTCAAACTCTTCAAAATTCTTAGAAAACGAGCTGAAATGCACGCATGCGCAAACGTTTTTCTCTAGTGCCACTGGCCGGTTTATAGCCAACTGTATTTCCTTCCGCGTCAGGATTGTTGTGATCCATCGTTTGTTAGGAGAAGAACCAAAAGTGGAAGAACAACGAGAATACCAACGTTGACATAAGAAAATGCTTTTCAAACTCCTGTGCTTATTACTGTTGTGTTGCATTAGCAGTTGTAGTGAGCGTGAACGGGAACGACAGACCTGCGGCGAAGATAAGTTTTACTGCCCGAGAAAGGACAACAATTATGACTGTTTGGACCGGGGAGATCGGTGCACCAATAAGAAAGTCTGCGTCGATTTCGAAAGTGATCAAGAAAACAAATGTTATGAAGCCTCTGCTGGTAGATACTACTACTACAAAAAACAGTCTTCGTTAACAAGCAGTGGTTCCAGCAAAAGTAAACGATTGGTGGAAGGTTGGAATTTTAATCATTGGTTCCTGGAGTACCGTGGTTTTGCGTACGAGTTCGGCACCTACGGTGCTCAGGAACTTGATGTGAATGATCCTAACTATAAATATGGCCCTGGAAGAGAAAAAGTCGTACAAGAAGGTCGGCTCGGAGCCAGTAGTTGTACCAGAGATGATGTCTTAAGGTATTGTGATGCCTTTCTCAAGGCTAATTCAGATTATGAATTCTGGTCCAATAACTGCCAGCACTTCTTCGTGTTCTTGGAAAAACTACTGAGAAACGACTGTTCGCCCAGAACAAAAAGAAGCTTGGATGATGAGATGAAAAGTTTAAAGTCAAACTGTACTGTTTCGAACCAAAACTCTTCCAGTTCTATGTTGGCTTTGAACTGGAAACCCTTCGCTTCGTTTGCAACACTGACCGCTTTATCCACTATCTTCTGCATGTAACTAAAGAGCGGCTGTCAGCAAAAATCAGAAATAAGGTGACAACGGTCAAAAAATCGATTTTGTTCATACTTTGAAGTTAGATACCCTATCATATAATATGAACCCCTGTGCACTTAGTTTTGCACAATTGTTTTTTGTTTGGAAGAAATTTGAATGTTTATGCAAACAGGCAAATTTGCTAATTTGACGACTCTGAAATTGACATGAATCACCGATCTCGTGTACAAAATACATTCTAACCTAATGAACTTTGAATATGGTATCTCTATATGCCTCAAAAACGATTTTCAGACATGTAGCTGTAACGAAGAATTGTTGGAAGAATTATTAGCAAGACACAGTTTAGTTCTTGAGTTTAAAACTACCCTCAAAACAAGTGAGAATTTTACCATGGCCGATACAACGGAAAAGCGAGATTTTCGCTGTATGTGATGTTAAGATGATATTGTTCAAGATTGTGAAAAAAACCTTAGGTAAATGTGTTTTTAMGCTTCTACAATCGACCAAATATGCCTAAATACGTTGTTTCTGAAAGGATAGTTTTTGCATAAATTAGCAAGTAAATGACTGCCAAAATCAAAACAATATCTTTCAATTCTTTTGTAAGCCGTTGGAGACATCAATACTTAGCAAATTTTTAGAGTTTTTTCAGAAGATAGTGCAGCATTTACTCCCTATCACTTCACAAATCATGAATTCTCGTAAGTTTTTTCACTTTTTCATCTTTTTAAGGTGTAAAATTTACCCTTTTATCATCGTTTCATTAGGAATACCGACGCGCAGCTCACACTAGTTTTTAGCTCTTATTAATGTTATGACTACGCCAATGGACTTGCCTTTTGGGGTTCGAAGTCGAACAATAGTTATTAAAAAAACAAAATGAAAAAATAAAAATAAAAATTTATCAGTCTGATGTCAATCAAACACTTTTTCTTTCTTTGACGTCTCTAAATTAATACTTCCTCCTCAAAACCAATTCAGTAGAAACTGATAGACAAATTTTGTTTCTTTGTCACCAGAGAAGAATGTGAGCTCGAAACAAATTTGAAAAAGGCGCTCAACGATCGCATGTGGCTACTACAAATGTTTAAATGTATAAAATCGGACTGGTCGCGAGGGAAATAGATTGGTTTTCCCGAGAGTCTCAATGTTTCCCGAGAGGCAGCCGAGCTTTGTTATACAGCAATCGATAAATACCGATAAGTCAGTTTACGCATAGTTACCGCTCCATTAACTTTGGTTTACGAAATAATAATGATAATAATAATAAATGATAAATAATAATAATAAATAATAATAATAAATAATAATAATAAATAATAGTGATAAATAATAACAATAATAATAATGATAATAATAATAATAATTAATTAATTATGAATAATAATAATAAATAATAATAATAAATAATAATGATAAATAATAACAATAATAATAATGATAATAATAATAACAATAATAATGGTACGAACATGTTCCTGATAGTGTGATTGAGAACCATGAAGTCAAGTTGCTGTGGGATTTTACCCTCCAGTACACCTCAGATAGGATAATCCAAGCCAGACGTCCGGATACAGCGCTGGTTGAGAAGGAATCAAACAAAACCTGTATTATCCATGTAACTGTGCCTGCTGACAGAAGGATTGAAGTCAAAGAGCTTGAGAAAACAGAAAAATACCAGGACCTCGCGAGAGAATTAAAGAAGTTATGGAAGACAAAGGTTGAAGTAGTACCAGTTATAGTAGGAAGTTTAGGTGAAGTGTCAAAGAGATTATGAGAAAGGATTATGTAACTATGTAAGGCATTAGAAACACAAAAGCAACACTTAGAAATCTGCAATCTTAGGAACTGCCAGAATATTAAGGAAAGTCTTTGAAGTTTAGGAACTTTACTTTACAAACGAAGAAAAATGTCAGTTAATATGTCAGTTTGAAGTCTTGGGAAAAGACCCGACCAGTACTTTTACCAGGAAAAAACTTATTATATCTGATCATTATCCTGAGGTTGGAATAAAATGGTGGAAATTGTAAAACCTCGAAAAACATTGTCTTTACCACACTCCAGTCAATAGACCTTGATAAAATATTAGAGTCTTTAGAGTACTTAAGTGTTTAACTGTTGGTGGATGCCCAGACAAGAAGCGAATTCGCGTCGATCCAACTACAATCTTTTAGGAATATTATGAAGAAACTCACAATTTCAGCATAAAACTACTATTTATGGATGGTAAATTAAAAATTACATAATAAAAGCTGCGAATTCGGCGTAAAAATGCTTTTACGATCCGGACGATCCAGGTAATCGAAGTCCAGTCCATTCCAGCTACACGGTTCCAAATTTTCCAAAATAAAAAATCTCTCATAATTCAGAATCTAGAAGGATAAATCAAATTTTAATRGTTGGGTATGTTTTTGCTATACATTAAGATTATTTATAGCCTTTCAGAACCTGAAAATATGAGAACTTTTTTTTTGTGATTCAAGATCCAGTCCACCGACGTCCAATCCAATCCTCCTCGATCTATGATTTTCCAAAATAAAAAATCTTAAATGCAGGATTCAAAATAAGGATATATTTTTGGGATCTTTGGCAAATTTCTACTATAGGCAATTGATTAGTTCCCTTTACATGTAAAATGAAATATTCATGAACCAAATAGAACACTCCATAGACCCTGATAACACATGAACGTCTCAAAAGAACTGAAGGTGTTTGACTGTTATGGTGGATGGCCAGACAAGAAGCAAGGAAATATTGTTATATTTGGACTTATAGTACACTCAACAAAATTACTCGACTCTGATTGGTCGAGAGGAGTACAATTATAGCGTTAATTGTA